TTCTCAACAGCAGTTGCTGCTGAGTAAAACGGTTAGAAATAACACTTCACATTAATACCAGTTTATGTACCCGAAGACTGACGAAGATTGAAATGAAAATGGGAAACTTTTCACACTAAACTCTTCAAAACTGCAGGGCGACCACGAGGATACGAGGATCTAGAAACTTCTATGGGCACTACTGAGTGATAAGCCTAAATAGGTGGTGCATGGAAATATAAACAGGAAGACCCAATCATCGGTTTAGTTCACTACACCCTCTGCCAGGGAGCGCTGATGTCAGCGCTAACCGGAGTTGGGGGTCCTTATTTATTCTCTTGGTCCATGATGTGGATCCGAACCTTGTGTTTTGGAATAAGCAACTGGGATTGTATATTGCAATTTCAGTTTGATGAATCGAAAACTTGTAAAATTTTCGGGATCAATAGACCATAGCCTCCAGGATGGGGCTTGTATCGGTGACTGGAGAGGAGGGTCTGATTCGGGATATTAAAAAATTTTCCAAGTCCTACGCTGGAAAATATTTTCGGAAAATTACCCTCCTCAAATCCACCCCAGCCCGATACGATTCTTTTACACTATCGAAGATTGGTTAACTGTTCGGACCGAATTTTGATACGACTTTTCGTTTTCGAGAAAATCCAACTTTTACCTAAGTTGCATGCGTATCTTATGTGCATATACGAGTTTTTATGCTTGCTTGAATACGTGGGATTCTTGACTTTACTAATGACAGGTTGTATGTCTGATTTTATAAACACGTCTATGACACATACCTATCTTATGTATAGACGCGGTTTTCTTCGTGGCCTTCGTAAATTGCGGTCCTCGCTCCGTCCAGAGTTCAAAATTCATCGTGAACTAGCTGTCTGTTCGTGGATCGCACAACGATGTGATGTCTGGTTTTAGTTTCTGCAGATCAAGGGAATCAGAAAAACGTAAAATTTCATTGCGGATAGCCCGGGGTCATAGAAAATGCTCCTTTGAAGTGATGATATTTTTTTACATAGAAAAAAAAACGAATTAAATTACAATGCTGTATGGCGGGTATTGTACAAGAAGGCAACGTTGTAAAAATTGTTCAACGAAATGGCAGGGTAATGTTACTACTTCAATATGCGGGTTATACAATTATAATAATACGAGGTATTGCATGTAGCCCCTTCAATCTGCGGGTTATGCAATGGTTTATTTTACCCTTCAACTTGTAGGTTATGCAACATAATTGCTACTGATTGAATTACCGGTGATACTTGACAATATGATATTGGTTTGTGTAGCGAAAGTTGATGATTTCGATTATTTACCACAACTTTATATGAGAATGTTGTTGGTTGATGATTTTGATACTTTACCGTAGATTTAAATAGAAAATCAATAAATAATCGATGGTTTTTGCTCGATATCTCGAAAACGGTGCGTCTTTGACGAATTTTGACGGCACCAATTGCACTGAAGGCTTATTTGCCATCCGCAACTCCTCAATTATGAATGCAATGAGGCCACCGGGAAGCCTTCATAACAATTGGACGTATTTCTATCAAACGGACCTAAGCGTTATAGGGTGAGGAAGGTACAGGGGCTTGGATTGGCGGCGGAATCCGGCGTCCGGCTTATTCCGTCCTGTACTCGCAATGCTTTTCCATAGCGTTTAGGCGCTTTGACAGAACGCGCTATCCCGGATTCTAAATTCCTCAAAAGGAACTCAAATTAGCCCTTAGTTCCGTTTGATAGGAATACATCCAATTAAGAAGCCTAAAATCAATTAATCCATTATGGACAATTGGTTTTCGCTCGATATTTGGTACTGTACAAGTGAAATTTGTATTGGTTATGCGGTAGTGTTTGTAATAACATAACATGAGTGGTCTCTCCTACAACGCACTCTGACGCTCTGCGACACCCAAACACCACATGGAAAAGCGTGTTGAATAGGAGTGTTAATTATTTTTGCTCGATATCTCGAGAACGGTGAGTCCTAGACGATTTTTTGACGAGACCAATCCGTTACATTTCGATTATAAATTCAGTGAGACCAATGGGAGGCCTCCAAAACAGTTAGGAAGCATAAAATCAATCAATCAATAATAATCTTATGGGATCCACCGTATTGCTTTCAGGGACGTGTTGTAACCCGCAATGGACCGTTCGATCCAACATTTAAGGTAGGGTAAAAGATCGATATTCGGGTCCAAATTACTTCACACTCGATAATTTACCATCGTTTTAAATAGAGCCCCTGTATATAGCGAGAGTATAGACGGATGTGAAACTCCGGAAATCCACCAGGCCTTCACCGATGCCTCCGCGAATGAAGTTAGGGCCCAATAATGCAGCCAACCTACGAACTTCAATCATCCAGAGCGTTTTACTAATACAATTGTTACGAATCATCGTTTATAAAGCATATATTCGACTTAGTTTTTGCATAAATTTACTCATTTTTTGCGGAAGAACGATCGTTTATGTACATTCTTAGCCATATTGGTTAGAATTGGAATCTACAGACTGGCAGTGAAATTTCGGGCGTTAGAAGTTGGTTAGAAGGGTGGCTGCACTTTTGGGCCCAAAACCCTCCATGAAGCGATCTGTCCATTCTCTCGGTGTAAAGGTACTCTAGTTTTAAATAGGAATATATCAGTAGTATCGATTCATTACCATAGTTTTTAATAGGAATACATCGGTGGTCAATTATTTCGATTCTTCACCGTAACATTAAATGGAAAATCTAGTCAGTTGATGATTGCGAATATTTACCGTAATGGACCACCAGAGGAGTTTGTTAGCCAAAATTTTACGTAAACCATGATGCGCACACCTAAAATTACCGAAATATGATTCTTGCTGTGTAAATTTAAACTACCCGCACATGAAAGCTCAATGCTCCGCGTGATTCACATCACACACTAAACGTTATCACGACCGTTTTTGCGACATAAAAATCTTGACACTTTGGATCATAGCTATAGCAAATTGTTTACAATTTGAACAACACATGATGGGAAATGAATACTTACTGCTCGATTGAGAAGCTTGCTGAAAGCGTTGTAGTGCTCGATTTGATTGTCGTAGAGCTTTGAGTTTCGAGCAGTTCAAATTCCCCGTAACCAATGTGAAATGAAAACGTTAATATCTTCGTTAGGAGTTGGTTTCAGTAATTTAGTTGCGTGAATCGTGTTCTCCGTGAAGTTATGGTTAAGAAACACGTATCAGAATGCTTAAATTCGCACCTTGTCTAGTGGTCTATTTTAAATGGGAATGCATTTGGTTATGTTTTAAGTGGTCCATTTTAAATGGAAACAATACTCGATGATTTCGATTACTTACCACAACTTCATATGAGAATGTTGATGGTCGATGATTTCGATATCAATAATTTATGGTTTTTGCTTAATATCTGGAAAACGATGCGTCCTACACGATTTTTGACGGCAACACACCCGCTAATTTTCAAATATGAATGCAATGAGACCACCGGAAGCCTCAAAAAATTTTATCAAGCCTAAAAGACAATGAATTTCATTGCGGGAACCCCCCAGTTGCGAAGAACGGTATTGAAAAGCTCCAGTAGGTACATTGCTTTACGGTCCCCGTCAAAATCAGAACTGAGAACTCAAGAGGGAACTGATGCATTTGATTGTGAGTCAAAATCAGAACTTCATGAAGAACTTGAGATAAAGGAAACCACAGAAGCGGATCATAACTCTAGTAAAGACAAAAAGTAAAGTATCAAAATCATCAACCAACAACATTCTCATATAAAGTTGTGGTAAATAATCGAAATCATCAACTTTCGCTACACAAACCAATATCATATTGTCAAGTATCACCGGTAATTCAATCAGTAGCAATTATGTTGCATAACCTACAAGTTGAAGGGTAAAATAAACCATTGCATAACCCGCAGATTGAAGGGGCTACATGCAATACCTCGTATTATTATAATTGTATAACCCGCATATTGAAGTAGTAACATTACCCTGCCATTTCGTTGAACAATTTTTACAACGTTGCCTTCTTGTACAATACCCGCCATACAGCATTGTAATTTAATTCGTTTTTTTTTCTATGTAAAAAAATATCATCACTTCAAAGGAGCATTTTCTATGACCCCGGGCTATCCGCAATGAAATTTTACGTTTTTCTGATTCCCTTGATCTGCAGAAACTAAAACCAGACATCACATCGTTGTGCGATCCACGAACAGACAGCTAGTTCACGATGAATTTTGAACTCTGGACGGAGCGAGGACCGCAATTTACGAAGGCCACGAAGAAAACCGCGTCTATACATAAGATAGGTATGTGTCATAGACGTGTTTATAAAATCAGACATACAACCTGTCATTAGTAAAGTCAAGAATCCCACGTATTCAAGCAAGCATAAAAACTCGTATATGCACATAAGATACGCATGCAACTTAGGTAAAAGTTGGATTTTCTCGAAAACGAAAAGTCGTATCAAAATTCGGTCTGTATTTTGCACAATCTGACAACATTGTATCGAAAAATTAACTAATTTCTCGAACCATCTGGCAACACTGTAAAATGCGATTTTTTAAAATTTCACCCATAATTAAGTCATTTATTTAAGTGCACCGTCCGGCAACGGTATAACCGCCATATTTAAGAATACACCATTGCATAACCCACAAATTGAAGGGGCTACATTACACTATTACGTAACCCGCATATTGAAGGGGCAACATGCAATACTTTTACTTTTACAGCGTTGCTATATTGAATAATTATCACCATACAACACTGTAATTTCATTCGTATTTTCTGCACCATCATGCATCGCTGTTGGATTTTTTACGTGGCAAAGTCGTCATTTTCACCCTACTAACCCAGTGTTTTTGAAAATAGCATGAAGTGACTAGCATGAAGCACAGGAAGTAGGTATTTTCGACCTGAGTCACCGTTTTTATCTTCACTGAAATTTTTGAGCTCTTACCTCAAGTTCCATCCTGCCGGACTGCATCACAAATACTGTTTCAGTTGGCGCAAGTGTACGAGACGGTGCACTCTCTGATAACAATGACCTCCGTGCAGGAATATGTACCTTACTCTTGGGTGTCACTAGTTCAGGTTAAGGAGCAGCATTACGCCGGTCTTGCTCATTTCCACAGTGCAGTCGCGCTTCTTTCCAAATCCTTGGCTCAGTTCTCTGAAAGAAGCATAGATATGCTCCACTATCTCCACGTTGAATCAGACTTTAAAACACCCTCTCATATAAAACTGGACAGTGATGAACGGCGAAAACATTTAGGTACGTATAAATCCCTCTTAAATCTCGCACTCCTCATTTGAAAAGCATCATTATCCTGGTGTAGTCAGTGACTGCTGAAAATAGGATTTAAATGAAGATGATTGGGCAGTAAACTTAAGTTTTGAACGAATTTTGGACGATAATCTGAAGTTTAGTACTTGACAATAAACTTGATTTTTTAATTTGACAATAAACTTAATTTATTGTGTATGGGACAGAGGCGAGGAATTTTTTCAGGGTCGTAGTTTAATTTTTCGATTACTTCCCATGCTTCATGTAGAGTTGGGTTTCCAGCTCTACGTCTCTTTCCAGCTTGCTCTTGAGTGCTTGTGGGTACAATCATCTTGCTCTGTCATTCTTGCTTATGCTTTTTTCCTCAGCGCAATCTTCTTGCATAACCTAACTTTGACTAGAAAGTGGTCGGAGTTGCATTATGGTCCCCTGCAGCTTCTTACATCTATTATTAATGACTTATGTCTTGATGACACGATGACATGATCAGATTTCATGATTCCATTTGTATCTGGTATCACTTAGAGTCCGAGATGGATATCGATGGTGAAATTACTAAACCACGTATCGTATCTCGATTTTCGTTTGTTTTGAGTTAGCTGCATAAACGAATTGTAGGAGATGTCCTTCATCTGCCATCGTTATATTTTTGTCGAAAAACATCGGGAAGTTACCCAAAAACGTAGTTAAAATATCACGTATCTCAGCGCTAATTCGTAATTCACATATCACGCGCCGTGAAGTAAACAGGAAAAATAGGCGCCTTTAGCTGAGGCAAATCAAAAGGTTTATTCGGTTCAGGCATTACAAGGTGGGATTTTCTTGAAAGATAATTAAGTCCTGTTGTACCCAAGAGGTGCAGAGAGTTTTAGTGAATCTTCCCTCATGAAATTGGCGCTCTTTCATTCTTACAAAAAATTTCAATTATTTATTTTTTTCCATAGGACCAAAAAAAAACAACAAAGAAACAAGCAAATTGTCATTCTTCCAAGATGACATTTTCATCCAAAAATATGTCGTGAACAAACAAATAAAAAAATATGACAAAATTCCCCCCCCCTCCCTAATTCTGCCCTCACAACCTACGCAAATTGCGCTCATCGACGCGCGTGATTGGGAAGTTATGCGCTTTTGCGCTAAGTCTTGCAACTTAAAGGAAACTTTTTTCAATGTAAGTAATCTGTAAATGCAAAGGAACACTTCTCTACTAAGGGCTACAGTCGAGGTGAGTAAGGCAGCCTCAGGCCATAGGTCCGCCTGAGGAAGTGACAGGTAGGTGCACATCAAATGTCAGCAAGTAATGAATGATATAATGTGGACAAGAGGCGTAATCGATGCTGCATATGCTTGTATTGGAAGGCGGCTCGTCCACTGGGAAGAAGAAACTTACCTTTTTATTAGAAGTGATAGGATAATCATTTAAAAAGGTAACCTGTTTCCTGCTTTTTACAACCGGTTACTGAATCTGTTATGGCGTTTAAAAGTTTAATAGTAATTACTAAAACCTGATGACTGGTCCAGCTGTAGGATTAACAGAAGCTTCCAGTGCAATAATTTTAGCACACTGATCATTTGCTCTTTGTTCTTTGCCTTAATTCGATGAAAATCTTCAAGTAACAGGCTGAAACCTGAATTCGAAATTCACATATCTCAAGGTAACAGTGTCGGTTCCTAACTCAAAAAACACATAGCTCGGTTTTCCTTCGTATTTCCTGACTGTTGGGGCTATTTTCAAAAATACTAAAGGCGTGGTGTAAAGCATCTTATCATTTCTACCTATAAGAATTATTACCTTTAAAATATCACAAATGAGAAACAGAGACAGTTTTTTTGCTCTCCTGAAAAATCGGGATTTCCGAAAAACATGGTATAGTAGTTTCACCATCGACTTACTTATGAGGGAACAATGTGCTTTCAATGAACTCTCTTAGCCGCAAACAGGGCCAATACGGTTCCGTTTTCACTGTTGTTATTATGTAGCGTGTGAACTCCAGCTTCCTGAATTTGGTCTTCATTTTCAATTTTATAAATTAGTGTCCTGTTTTAAAATCTGTCATTTTGTCATATCGACTTATTCTGGTGCACACCTCTTCCAATGCAAGGTCGATAGATCTAGGTCAGTCCGTTAGCATGATGTTCTTTGGAATTTCCCGATCTGGCAACGAATTCCCCCGATTTGCCGTTTCACTCAGACTCTGTCGTGATAGCGATGAGAGCAGTAGCATCTAATTTTCGAAACCCCTCCCCGAATCCCCCGATCTGCATAAGACAAATGCAATCGGATCTAAGGAAGAGCAGAGTGGGAAATGCAAATTGGGGGAATCTTCTGGCAACGCCGACAGCCCTCGCCTCCTGTTTTTCAAAGATTATTACACTCAACTTTCCTAATGGGCTGACCTATGTCTATCGACCCTGCTTTCAATGTCTCAGAATAGCCTTCTGATTCTAGTTTTTCTCTCTCTGCCGTCCGTGCATGAACTGATCTGATTTATCTGTTATTTTACAAAATTTACCCTTAATCCTAGTTCTGCGAATTATTTCACTGATGCTTACACGCTCTAGGAGACACTTTCATCCTTTTTTGGAAATTACACAACCCTTTCTCAGTAGCTCTGCATTTTCAGCCAGTCTGCTCTATTCTATATCAAGCTGAATTCTGGTTGTGATAAAAGGGTGGCCATATCCCATACAGGGTGTCCCAAAAGTCCGTACCCCCCCTCGTAACTTTTGAACGGTTAGAGATAGAAGAATGAAACTTTGGGAATGTTTCTATATTAAAGAGGACCATCTTCTAGGGGGGTCAAAATTTTTGTCCCCCCCTCAGGGGGGGCGCGGGGGCCCCCAACTTTTTTTTTTCAAATGGTAACCCCTATCTTGTGATACATCATTAGAAAGAGCATAAAAAACTAAGACTCTTGGCGCAAACCGCAAATCAATATCTTAATTTTTGACCGAGTTATGATAGGTCAAAGGTCAAATTAGACCTTTTTTCAAAAAATCATATCTCCGGTTCACATTATCGTAAAGAAAAAAACAAAACGGGAAACTTTACCAAATTGTAAGCACTTTTAAGTAAAAATCACAGAAATTACTTTAAACTAATTTTATGGGGGGTTTCTGACCCCCAAATACGTCATTTTAAAGGTCACACGATATTCTCGCGAAATGAGCCAATTTCCCCTTACTTTTCCTCAACATTATCATAGTAAGTTCAAAATTAGTTCAACATTGCGTTTTCAAGTCCCCAAATTTCGGGCAAAGTTCAAAAAACGAAATTTAAGGTGATTCAATTCAACCATTGAAATTTCATTTTTTTAAAACTTTGTTCGAAATTTGGGGACTTGAGAAGCAATGTTGAACTAATTTTGAACTGACTATGATAATGTTGAGGAAAAGTAAGGGGAAATTGGCTCATTTCGCGAGAATATCGTGTGACCTTTAAAATGACGTATTTGGGGGTCAGAAACCCCCCATAAAATTAGTTTAAAGTAATTTCTGTGATTTTTACTTAAAAGTGCTTACAATTTGGTAAAGTTTCCCGTTTTGTTTTTTTCTTTACGATAATGTGAACCGGAGATATGATTTTTTGAAAAAAGGTCTAATTTGACCTTTGACCTATCATAACTCGGTCAAAAATTAAGATATTGATTTGCGGTTTGCGCCAAGAGTCTTAGTTTTTTATGCTCTTTCTAATGATGTATCACAAGATAGGGGTTACCATTTGAAAAAAAAAAGTTGGGGGCCCCCGCGCCCCCCCTGAGGGGGGGACAAAAATTTTGACCCCCCTAGAAGATGGTCCCCTTTAATATAGAAACATTCCCAAAGTTTCATTTTCCTATCTTTAACCGTTCAAAAGTTATGAGGGGGGTATGGACTTTTGGGACACCCTGTATATTGGTGTGTGCCCACACCTTGTCAGTGTATATCTTGTATTGCCTTTTTATTTATGGTAAACTTTCTCATTTCACTGGCAACTTCCATTATTTTTCTAGGATTTATACAGTCCTGGTTGCGCGCATCACATCATCAAGCTTTTGCCCTTTTTGTTTTTGTTTTTCTATGATCTAAAATCTTGGTGTCGATTATTCTGTTAGTACTGAGGCATTGCTTTTGTATTCCAAGCAAGATCATTTTTAACGTGGTTGGGTTGCTAGCTCTACTTGCAACCCTCTTCTTTTTCCTGTGCTGCAAACCAGCCAGAGATGAACGTTTCAACTTCATTCAAACATTTTCCCTTAACAACTGTTTTCCGTAACATCTATTGCTTGTCTCCTGCTTTTTGCTTGTATCTTTAATTAACGATGTAATTGCATTATGATCTTTTGCAATGTAATTGTGTAGTTTGCTTTTATTATGTAGTTTATGATAATTTTGTGTATTGTGTCGAAGCTCTGATGATGGCTTGAGGTGAGCTGAAAAAGCTTTCAGCTATGTGAGTAAAATATCATGCAATAAAATGTATAGTACCCAGATTTTTATCTTCATTTTAATTCTAATTTCAACTTTAGGCGGAGTTTGACATGTCTTACACTAGAAGAAAAAAATTTAAGAAAGAAAAATGAAAAACCGTCGTGAAAATGAAAGCTCGTACACATCCCTATGACCTAATTGTGCTTTCTTTCTCATTTCAGGTAAAGCCCATTTGAAGTCTGCCCTGCAGTTGCTCGAAGAAAGTCAAAGATTACAAAGAATGTGTCGAGAGCTACGAAGTAAGAAAGCACTATCCAGAGTTTTAGCAAAAACTGTTGATAATGTAAAGGAAACTCTAGCTGACACTGAAGAGGATGATGCCTTTAGTGAAATACTTGAAGCACCTTGTATTCAGCGTAAGTTGCCATCTTTTTCTAGAATTTTTAAAGGGTCCATGCAGGCGGCAACATTACCAAACCTGTAGAAGACGCTTCTGGGCCCTTCAGAACAAGGGAGCATCAACAAGGGGGAGGGGGATTTAAGAAGTGCCTTGAGGAATCTTGAGGGGAAGGAAGAGTCAACCACTACTTTATACAAGGGAAAACGGCTATAGGAGGAGAATAAAAAAAATTCAGGTTTCTTTTTACATCTCAACTGCAATGCCAACCCACAGGGGCCGACAGTAACAGGTCCTACAACGCCAGGTTAATAGGTGAAGAAAGCTGTAAGATGATTTGCACGAAATTCTAGCATTAAATCACAAGGGGACAACAGTGGTGCATCCTTTAAGAGACTTCAATAACAAGTAGTCTATTTTTCTCAGTGTCATACTTGATGTCCAAGCATTCATGCTGAATTTTGGAAAAATGTGAATTTTTTTTTGAATGAGGGGAAAAATTCGCTACGGTGGGTCGCCAATACGCCCCACAGTACGATTTTAACACTTTTAATGCGGTCAACATACCACCCGCGATTTTTTCGCGGAAATGTCAACTAGAAAGCCTTCTGATAAAGGAACAACAAACCGCGAAATCTGTAGTTTGGTCGTTTTTGATAAAATGCGATTTTTCGCTTTTTTGGTGGGAATTTCGGGTCAAGGCGCTGAAAAAGTCACGTTAGGCTGTTTTTGTGGCTTGTAAATGTCTATACTACACATTTTTAGTCAATGAAGTGTCAGTAGTATTCGTGCATATTGCCAAAAATTGCCCCCAAATTGCCTAAATTTCAAAGTAGGGGCCATAATAAGGCCTCTGGGATTTCGATTTTTTTAAAGTACGCATACGGTGTCACGTTAGGTGTCAACTCCTATGTAATTTTGGTCGTAGATTTCAGATATGAAGTTTAAAAAGTCCCCCGGTCAAAGGGGGTACTCCAAATCCAAGATGGCAGCTAATTTTGAAAGACAAGAGGGTGAATTTTTAAAATGTTCGCGTGATAAGGCGAGTGAGGTATCATTTCCTATGTGATTTTGGTCGTAGATTTCATTCATGAAGTCATAAAAGCCCTCCAGTGAAAGGGATTGCTCCAAATGCCAAGATGGCGGGCAAATTTGGAAGGCAGGAGGGCGAATTTTTGAAATGTTTACGTGAAATCCATGGTAAAAGTGAATCAGCCTGACGTCAGGCTACGTTTCATAAACTACCCTGAGTCAGACTGATGTCAACCTGAATTAGTCTGACTCAGGTTAGTTTATGAAACGTAGCCTGACGTCAGGCTGATTCACTTTTACTATGGATTTCACGTAAACATTTCAAAAATTCACCCTCCTGCCTTCCAAATTTGGCCGCCATCTTGGCATTCGGAGCAATCCCTTTGACTGGAGGGCTTTTATGACTTCATAAATGAAATCTACGACCAAAATCACAGAGGAAATGATACCTCACTTCCCTTATCACGCGAACATTTTTAAAATTTCACCCTCTTGTCTTTCAAAATTGGCTGCCATCTTGGATTTGGAGTACCCCCTTTGACCGGGGGACTTACTAAACTTCATACCTGAAATCTACGACCAAAATTACATAAAAGTTGACACCTAACATGACACTGTATGCGTACTTTAAAAAAATCGAAATCCCGGAGGCCTTATTATGGCCCCTATTTTGAACTTTAGGCAATTTGGGGGCAACTGTGTGGTTGGCAGCTCTTGTCACCTGTCATGGCGCCAGCCACTGCTCTCTCCTGATTGGCTGTGAGCATTCATCAGCATTATCCGTTTTGGCCTGGGCCACGCCGGCCGCCCTTCCGTGCATTTTCCGTTCTTTGTATTTTCCAACAATACACTCATATTTCCATCATCATATTCGTGTAGTTGTTCGTGCCACCACCACCACCACATCACAGCAATTTTTGGCAATATGCACGAATAGCTCTCTACTGACACTTGATTGACTAAAAATGTATAGGATATGCATTTACAAGCCACAAAAACAGCCTAACGTGACTTTTTCAGCGCCTTGACCCGAAATTCCTGCCAAAAACGCGAAAAATAGTATTTTCTCAAAAACGGCCAAGCTACAGATTTCGCGGTTTGTTGTTCCTCAATCAGAAGGCCTTCTAGTTGACATTTCCGCAAAAAAATCGCGGGTGGTATGTTGACCGCATTAAAAGTGTTAAAATCGTACCGTGGCCCCCCATGAAAGGGGCCCACCGAATACCGGGACGGCAACGGCCATCAGCTGGTGAAGAGCCGCCGAAGCGACCCCTAATCGACCCGACCGCTGTGAGATGGAAAAGCCCGGTTATGTGGGGTTGGAGCACGCTGCCAGGTTCCGTACCCACTAAACGACCCCTCCAGGCCACACCCCGTGCAAGTGTGGCCCATCGGACGCTCTATCCTCCCGTCGGACGTCCCTAAGACACTCTTCGACCGGCAGTCCCCGACCCTGGCCCCGGGGAAGCCGGCGCCCCTCAGGCCCCCCACTTGGGAGAGGGTCCCCCCATCCCCCGGGACCGATCTTCCGGAGCCATCATTGCACCCGGAGTCAAGGGCGTAGGAGGAGAGCCTAGGCCCAGCTTGCGCCAAACCCTGGGACAACCTCTCGGCAGGGCTCTGGAGCCGAGGACTGGAGGGCAGGGAAGGCAGACCAGCTTCGTCTCGCTCAGCCCTCGAGGCACCCGATCTTTTGCGGCCCCAGAAGGGGGGATCCTACACATGACTCAGCTCCGCGGGTGCATCTGCAAACTCACTCCTCATCCACGAATCAAGATCCGGGATCAGTTTTCGAGTCCATTAAGCTTTCCCCGTGTACGAGTATCATCTATCTTTCCAGGCGTCATACATCATTTCTTCAGCTACCTTCAGATCTTGTGTGTCAAATCTGGTCTTATGTTCGAGTAGAAGTAAATCCAAGGGAGGGATTTTGGCTAGCACGTCCAGAGCCTCATCTGACACAGTTCTGTAGGCCCTTGTCACTTTAATCTTGATGGGTCTAAAAGTTGTCCTCACCATGTCAGCATAAGTTTTCGTCCCGACAATGTCTGCCCAACCCGGAGCTGCATAAGAGAGTATGGAAATGGCCACAGAAGCGATAATCTTCCTTCTCCTTGCAGACGGTCCTCCCTTATTTGGCATGATCCTAGTCAGGTTTCCAGCGACCCGTCTCACTTTTTTGCATGTTCTTTTTAGATGTTCTTTGAAATGCAACCCCGCCGACAGCCGTACACCGAGGTATTTGCCATGTTCCATAGCTTGGATTTCCAATTGGTCCACTTTTATCTCTACATCACGGTCTGCCTTCTTTGCCTTAGGTATTAAGAATTCCGTTTTCTCTATCACCGTTTCTAGGCTGAGCTCCCAGATTCTTCCTAAGGTGTAAGCCACTGCTCTCTGTAATTTCCAGATAAGTCCGTACATCGTTCTTTCCCAGGCACTGACTGCGACATCATCTGCAAACGCGGTCAACAAACTATTTTGTGGGAAGGCGCCCCCCACCACAGAATCATAGTAGACCAGCCACAAACACGGCGACAAACAGCTACCCTGGGGCACTCCCATACGAAGTTAGGATTTCTTCTCCGTCTACTATGATGCTACGTTCCGTGAAATAATCTTGAAGGATTCTGAGTAAATAAGTTGATATGCTTTTTTTCTTAAGTGCTTCAATTATTCCTTCCCACGGTGCGGTGTTAAATGCGTTCTTCACGTCAAGCATCACGATCCCAGATGGACGTCTCCTTTCCCATGCTCTGTTTGCAAAATCCACCACTGTCTTGATCGCCATTACCGTCAATTTTCCCTTCACAAAACCAAACTAGTTTTCTGAAATGAAAATCTTCGTTATGAGTCTGTGCAGAATTAGTTTCTCCAGGATTTTTCCCATGACATCTATGAAGCAGATTGGGCGGAAAGTTTTCTTGTTTCCTTTAACTCCTTTTGGTAGTCGAATTAAGTTGGCCTTCTTCCATATTTTCGGGAAAAAACCCGAAGTAAGGGCTTCGTTGAAAACTCCTAGTCCCGTTTCCACGTTAATACCAAGAAACGCTTTGACCGCTTCCGGGGGGGAGTCCGTCCGGTCCTGGGGCTTTTTTGTCTCTAGTGATCCTCAGTGCTTCCTCCAACTCATCTTTGGTGAAGGATTGGATTTCGTCCTCAACTTCAGGTTTTTCGAAGGAGGGCAATGATTTTTCCGGAAAGAGCTCTTACACTACCTCAAGTTTTTCTTCAGTACTTAATTCATCAGCTGGATTCCTTGGTCTCGTCTTGCTATTCACGATTTTGTATCCTTTTCCCCAAGGGTTCTAGTTCATTTAGTATTTTGTTCCATGATTCCGTTTTTTCCTTTGAGATGGCTTCCTCCTTGTTTGTTTGTCCGTACTCCGTTCTCGTTTTATCCAAATCTAGGTCGTCTTTGCCAATTTTCCTGGTCCATTTTCGTCTTAAAGTGACTGATTTCCTGTGTAGTTTTCCAATGTCCATATTCCACCAATATTCTTCTCTCTTTTCCATCGGCACAGTTTTCGTCTTCTTCAGGATGTTATTGCATTCTCTTGTTATCAGCTCTGTCACCTCCTCTGCAGTCCTTTTATCTTTGCTGATGTAAGTGTTCTGTAACCTAAAAGTCTCCTGGAGATCCTTTTTATCCTCTTCTCCTCTAATTTTCCATTTCCTAATTTGGAACGATTTAATCGGGTCGAAATTTTCTCCCAGTGTGCACAAGATCGCTTGGTGGTCGCTCGCAGTGTTCATATCAGTAACCACTTCCCACCTCTTTACAGAGCTCGAAAGCTTTCCTGACATGATCGTTAGGTCAACAATGGAGCTACCTCCCCCAGGGGCCAGGAAGGTGGGTGTAGATCCGGTATTTTGGATGATCATTGTTTGTCTCGACCCACTCTTCCAAAATCAATCCTCTGTTGTTGTGTTTTTTGTCTTACCACGTCTCAGATCTAGCATTCAGATCCTCTGTGATCAGGAAAC